TCAAGTCTGTTAATCAATTCATCTCAGCAGTAACTGCTGTTGGTAATTTGGCCTAAATGCATTCAAAATGCCCACAAAAATGCTGCAATTAGCGAGACAGCAGCAGTAAATTATTAGTTTTAAATTAGGGGATCCTTGGGATGCTGCCAGGTTGTGAAAACATAGCAGTGTCACTATTCCCCCCAGTGAGTCTGAATGAAAGTGGGCGATAAAAGAAGAGAGGTTGTCAGAATAAACGAACAGGGGGATGGCAAAAACTGGTGCTTTGCTTTCTGCACACGGGCAAAGGGGGCATTGCTGCCAGATGGGAAGTTGGAGTCGGAGCTCTCTTTGGGGCATGCTGAGCCATTTGGCTCTCATCCAAATGGGCAATTTCACAGGGTAGGGGGGGAGGAATAGAGGGGGGGAATAAGCTCGAAAACAAAGCAAAAGTTAAGCAAAGAAAGAGGCGGAAACTGGATCTGAAAACCATTTCACACGCAGCACTTCATCAGCTCGGGTGCTTACGATACCCACTGCTGCGCCGCATGGGGTAATTAGCACTGCTCTGTGTAGCGAGCCGTGGTGTATGTATGCACACAGCTCTCATGGCTTCCTATGGGTGTTATATACTGGCTCAGAAAGAGCTTGAGGACCACAGGGTGAAGCTGAACAAGTCAATATCAGAGGAGTCACTTTAACACAGATTACTCTATATCCTCGCTGCCATGAAGACTGCACAACTGTATGCATACTGACTCTGCAGCCAAATTGAATTTCATGCTTTCTGCGGACACCTACTGTGTACTAAATCCACAGAGGGATAAAGCAGCCGAAAAGCTGTTGTTTAATGTATTGTGTGCAGCGAGAAATGCTGAATATATTCTTCCTTGGCCACGCGTACATCCCTTGTAGATATGGCGGACGCAGTGGTGGGATAGAAAATGAATTACAAATGAGTACAATACATCATACATGAATCTAAGCAAATGTGCATGTTATCTTCCTCGTCGTTAAGGAAAGGAGAATAATCTGCTGGCCTAATTGTCAGCTTAACAGAGAGAGAGAGAGATACTGTACTTCCCATTTTTCCCAGGGAGAGGTGTGGAGGGAATCAAGAGGAACTGCACTGATCTATATGCATCTGGCTTAATTGCGGCACCGGGGTGTGTTGGGATCAGGCGGTATGGACTAAAGTCTAGCATTGTGAAGCGCCCATCCTGATTATGTGCTGAAACGGGGCACGGGAGGAGTGCCAGGCAGACAGGCAGGAAACCCAAAGTAAATTCTGCCTCTGCGGCTCGACGCAATCTCCAAACGTTTCGAGAAAAATGTTAAAAAAAGAAAAGGGGAGAGAGAAATTTGGAGATGTGCATTATGCATTGTGGGCATAAATAATGCAGGGAGAAACTTCTTGCACTCGGAAAGGATGCTACACTTTCTCTTCCACCGTCAACAGCCCGATAGTTGCACAAAAACTACTGGACTTACCGTCATTCGATAACATGGAACGACGCAGAAATGCTGGACAGTAATTGCATCATTGTCTCGTTCCTGGCTTCTTATGAAGCACACTGATCACGCAATCGTTTCACTTCAGGGGAAACAAAACACCTTAGAGAACAGGTGGACCTGCTTGAGCTGTTTCTTGTGAGAGAAAAAAAGGTGGGGGGGGGAGGACTTAATCAAAACACAAGCTGGCCAATGAGATGACATTTCCTGTTCACCTTGCGTGTGATCCTTTCAGTCCATGTTATTTGCAGCACAGGAACTGAAAAGAGCAATGTGTTGCCCATCATGAGTCATTCAGGGATAAAGGTGCTCTTAGGCCTCGGTCTCTTTGTAGGGGTGGTCGAAATGGAAGGCGTCCTACCGGTTTACTGGCTTAGGATGTCAGCGTGTCCTCTCTCAGGAGTCCTTTATCACAGCGTTCCAACTCCATAAAACACTGCATATTAAACTAAATCTGTCAGGTGTTCAATATGGACCACTGTTTGGTCATCAATCATAAAAATAAATAAATAAATAAACACCACTGCAAAGTCAACGGCATAAGAGCCAACTATAAATTTCTGCCAAACAACCTCCTGAACACCAGCGGTGATGTATGGGCTTCTAACATTTTACTGCTCCTGCTGAACCTTCTTTCAAAGACGTAACAAAAAGACTTCAAGACACGTGACTTCTGTTTTACACCAAGCTTAATTTGCTTCGTCTGTGAGACGTCGGACAAAGAAATTGCCTGAAGCAAGAGTGCAGGATAGATGCAGGATAAATTACAATGCCCACAGGAAAGAGGAATAAAGTAGGCAGATCGATGCCAGAGAAGAAACCTCAGGCAAAATACAATAAAGTGGGATATAGCAGAAGCGTCCCAGTGGCTTGGCCAGTTTGTTACCCTTCCCTTTTTGTATGTTTTGGCATTCTCCTCTGCAAGAAAACAAAAAGGAAACCCCAAACCCTAAATGTGCTACAATAAACCGTATGCTCAATGATCTTCTATTATTAATTCATTTGATTCAATTCTAACAAATTACTTCTGATACCTTGGTTTGAAAAACAATCGTCAGTCACTGGCAGATCCTCATGCGTTTGTCTTTGTCCTTTGGCTGTGCTTTAGAGGACATACGTGTTGGATGTGATTTTTCCCATTGGCCATGGTATAACACTCGAGAAGATTTAGCTCCATCCGTGTTGGAAGAACAAGAATTTCATCTTGTTTTGCCGAAGTAAAGGACTCCAACAAATTTCTTCCAGAATCCAACAAGATTAAAGACAAAGAAGAAGCTGTCTACAGACTCAAAACGGCTTCGTGATCCGTCCTTTGCGGTCTTGTCTACAAGCAGTTAACAGGCATTTCCCATTTAGTAAACTATAAAATGAACGAGATGGACTGATACTGTATAATACAGAGCATGAGGAGACTTAGACAAACACAGGCAGTTCTTAACTGACATTTTTCATTTCCAAGCAATTTTATATTCTTTCCTTCGGTTGCTCAATCTTTCTGATGTGGTAAAGGACAGCCTCCCCGGGTGTGCGCTTACAATGCCCATCCCAGGTCCAGAGTTGTTTCCTTTCAGTTCCCATCACTACCTTTTTACCTTCATTGCCCTTTCTGACAGCAGGAATGCCTTTCTTCTGCCAGATAGAGATTCATGTTTCATGCGGAATGAAATGAATGACATCCTTTTTCATTTTCTTTTGATACAGTTTCCTTACACCTCGTTTTTGGGTGTGCACAAGTCTCGAGCCACTCCTTTTTGTGTTTTGTGTGGAAAATGGGAAATAGTTGGAGACATTTATTGAAACATTTAATTACAGTATACAAGGCAAAAACAGAGTTTGTACAATTCTAACAACCATGATATTTAATATTTGGTGTGACCACCTTTATTCTTCAGCACAGTCTGAACTCTCTTAGGCAGCCTTCTTTAAGTCGTCTTCAGGAATAGTTCTCCAGGCTTCTTGAAGGACATTCAAAGCTCTTCTTTGGATGTTTCTGCCTTTTGTTCTGTTCTCTGTCAACATGATCCCACACTGCTCTGTTCTGCACCCAGATTCATTGCAATTTCTGACATAATGTCAACATGTGACACAAGTTGCCTGTTTTTATTGATTGCAGAGCACCAGTTGAGTTGCCTTTCCCCCACTTCATATAAAGGAAAAATACTGATAATAGCGACTATATTGTGAAATAACACTTATTTGATATTTTGATATGTTAAAATAAAAACTGGCTGAATGGCTGTTTAAGACGTGCTGAAATATGACACCATCTTATCCAGTCTTGGACATCGCCTTCATTTCTTGGAACACTCTGTTTTCCTTCCTGACCTTCTCTCTGTGTACCATCTTCCCTGCAGTTCCCAAAAGTACAGCGTCAAATTATGCTGTAAAAGAGAACACATGACCCCCCCAGACTCTACTGCTTCTCCTAAGATCACATGTGACAGTTGTCCGTCAGCCAGCGTTCTTCCTGAGACATCTTGTGTTTCTTTCTGCAAGGGATGGCAATGCTGGAGCCAAGCTGGCAGATAAAGGTAACATCTGACTCCTCGACATGCAGGGAAAAACTAACCTTTTAGCAGCCGCACTGCCATTAAATCTGTGAACATCACATGACTAATAGAAATAATGAGAAAATTGAGTGGCAGGGATGTAATTCGGTAAGACAGTGAAGCAGTTGCAGGAAAAACACGATTTCAAAGCTTGTAATACAACATAGTCCTTGCTTCTGTTATTCTGAGTGCAGTTGGAAGGTCGCTCTATCACTGGGTCACATCAAAATGGCAAAGATTAGCTGATGCAGAGGTTGCGACTCAAGGACCTTATGCACAGATAAATTTAGCGCAGACAAAAAGCTACCCTTTCCAAATACAATCCACTTTAGCTTATCCACGCTGACATAACAAAAACAAGCGGGTGAAAAAAAGGGGAGCAACTGTTGCATAAAACATGGCACAATCACTTCCAAAAACTTACTACATGAAAGAAGCCCATTTTGGAGTGTGTAAACAAAATGTAATTAACAGGAAAATAGGACTTTTCACAGACATTTGATCTCTCTATATGGCAACACTGAAGATTAATTTGCCAGCGCGGCAGATACGTAACTTCAAAAGTCGAACTCCGATTTGTGACTTAATTAAAAAGGCCCTATTAAAGCTGTATATGTGGGTGTTAAAAACAAGTCAAACCAAAGCATTCGTAGTGCCGAAAACGGCAACATGTTTTATAGGGCGCTGGGAAATATATGCATAATTCACAAAAAAGATGCTATTTATTTTATGAGGGAGTTTAAATTGCTAAGCATTTCACTTTTTTAAGAGTGAATTATCATAACTAAAATGATGAAAATATATTTATTTTGGTTGGGTTATTTATATATTTATGAATTATTTTGCCTTATTTGTCCTCTAAGATAAGATAAGTGAGAAACGTGAAGAGGTTTTCACATGAACATACTGGTTATTGAGCGTATTGTTCAAAATACATTTCACTCATGACATAACTCTGACCTGTGAGGTTACGTAATCCCAGCTGCCTTAGTCCGTACAGACCGTCCCGTCTGTAGTTCAGGAAGATGGCCAGAGCGTACCGACCTTCGTAAAGTTTGGTGCCTCGGATGATCCGCAGGTTCTCCAGTGGCAGGTAGTCGAACTGATTAAGTGCCACCAGCACATAACCGGTCACTTCTTTGATAGACTGTATGGGAAGAAAAAAAATTATAATTTTAAATGATTGAAAATGGAAGAACAATCGAATCAAATTAGCCAACATTAGCCTTTGTGTTAATCATAATCACGAATATTCTTAACTTTAACCAGTTGTTATAGATGTATAACCATATTTTCACCATAGCTAGGATATTTAACAATTGATTTATTTAGTTTTCAGGACCAGCTTCCAGTTTGAATTTAACCTTGCTAGTACCAGGCTGGATATCTTAGAGATGGCCCTGGTCAACAGCAATACTGAGGTAGGCAGGTGTGAGAAGTATCGCCCACACCATTACACCACCACCACCAGCCTGAACCGTTCAGGCAGGATGGATTAATGCTTTAATGTTGTTTATGCCAAATTCTGACCCCACCATTTGAGTTTCGCAGCATTATTTGCAAATCATCAGAGCAGGCGAGCCTGTCTCAGTCTCCTGTTTCTAGTTGACAAGAGCAGCAACTACTGTGATCTTCTGTTGCTGGAGCCCATCTTGGTTGTAATACGTGGTTATTCCAGTTACTGTTGGGTCTCTATCAGCTCAAAGTAGACAGAGAATTCTCTTCTGACTAGGCTGACAGCATGTGTGTCTGTATGAGGGACTGAACATCCTTTTTAATCCTTGTCCGAGGTTCCACATCTTGGTACAATGTCCCACATTCTAGTTGATTCTGCAGGACATGCAAGATTAGCATTTACCTAATGCATACTTATTTGTTTAATCACAGTCAGAAGAAGATTAGCCTGTAACCTGAACATTACAAGATACCAAAAAGTCCCATCTTTTGCAGATTTTGTTGAATGTTATGGAAACTACCACGAAGAAAATGAATCGGCAGTAGATACAGAGAAACAGAGTTTGTCTCTTTTACTCAAGTTATTTTTTTGTATTTCTGAAATACTCAAACCAACAACAACAACAACTATGTCATGTTGAAAACACTTTAATCAGATTTCTTCCTCAGTGTTATGGTCAGTTTGGCCTTCAACAGGTCATCTTGATCACGTCTACATGTCTTAACATACTGAATTGCTTTTATGTGATCGGCCGATTAGATGTTTGCTTTAGCTTAACACAGTAGCCAGTGAGCATAGTTGCCAAGACCAAATTAGGGAGTAACCCAACTGGTTTTGAAGAATCATCCAATGTGACAATTGATTGGATACCAATAAATAAATGACGCCCGAGTCCATAACTTCAGATTTAAACCCCCACTGTTGTACGACTGGTTGTTAAAATGTAAATGGCCTGCATTTGTATAGCGCTTTACTTAGTCCCTAAGGACCCCAAAGTGCTTTACACTACATTCAGTCATTCACCCATTCACACACACATTCACACACTGGTGGTGGCCAAGGTGGTGGCAAGCTACATTGTAGCCACAGCTGCCCTGGGGCGCACTGACAGAGGCACGGCTGCCGGACACTGGCGCCACTGGGCCCTCTGGCCCTCTGTAAGTGAATGGAAACTTACATTTTTACCTCCAATTCCTCTCTTCCAACGCCTGCTAGCTCTGTCGACTATAGTCAAAGCTGTATTGCATTCCTCTCATTTTCTGTGCAGAGAGCATGTTATTTGCATTTTGAAATGTCAACCACATAAAAAATTTTGAGGTACAGACCACAATGATTAAAATGTCAGCTTAGTTGCAGACTGATTGCACTTCTCTGATTATATTTCCTCAACTGTTCTTTTAGGGTTGGGAATCTGCAGTCGCACATCGCATTCATAGACCCAATAAGCAATCATATCTTTATATTCTTTATATTCTTCTTATTCAAATATAAATGGTATCGGTTTGATTTATTTTCACAGGCTTCAGCAGTATATGCTGTTGAAGAAACTACAAAAAAAAAGAAAAATAATCTGCCCGAGAGGGACTCATAAAATGTGAAAATAGAGAGCTTCAGCATGCTGAGTGCCTTGCTGAAGAGCATGGAAGACCTCAACCATCTGCCTCATTGTGCATCAATTGACCTTCTCAAAAGTCACAAAAAATCACACTGATTACCACTGCGTTATTCACTTGTCGGGGGAAATTTATTCATCTGCCAAGTTAGGCATAAGGATGGGGCCAAGGCAGGCTCTTTGAATTTTGGAGTATTTTTCTTTTTTATGAATTCTCCACAAAAGCGTTTGTCCTCAACCCTGGGTCATCACTAAACAAATTAAGAAAAATAACTGAAAACTTGGAGTTAAATGTCAACAGTATACTAGCACTTTATTGACACATCAACAGAAAAAGTCCTCATAAGAAGAAAACTGAGAAAACTGGGAGCCACATCAATCAGACAGACACCAAATTGCCACTTCATATAAAGTATTATTACCAGATATGCAGCTTTATCTGTGTATGCGCATGTATGTGTGTGTATCTACGAGACAGCTTATTCCCTTGATGCTAAAAATCCATCGCTGTGGCAGTGCATCAGTTATGTGAGTGACTCAAAGAGCAGTGCAGGCTTCCTTATACTCACAGACAGAGAGAAAGAAAGATAATCACAAACATAATGTAGACACAACAGCTGCTAAATGGTGCACTAACACATTTTACCAACCACCACTGACAAGCTAATTGGAACCCACTACTTCTTAAAAGTGCGAGTCTTTTTGTGAGTATTATCCTCTTGTTCTCCTTAGTTAAAAAACGGGATCAATTTTCCACAGATTCCAGTTTACTTGTACCGATGCCCCTTGCCTCAATACCGCCAGTGCCATTGGTCAACAGCACTTGCTAAAGTTAGCTTATAAACAAGTCCATGTAAGGATTAAAACAGATGGGTGTAGCTTTTGGGTATTAAAAGCCTGTGGCTGCACAATGACTTTTAATGGCATAGAAATCAAAGCGAGAATGCCCTTCGGCGTCCTTACTGTGTCTGGACACAGCTTCCAGGCATGAAAACTGAACCAAACACTGAAGTGCCTTAGACCTGCAACCTCACTGCAATACTTTATTATCCATTATCCATCCATCTTCTTCCATTTATTTAATTCTGGGTCATGGGGGGGGGGGTAAAGCCTGTGATAGGGCGAGGTGCAGGGTCGCACAGCTAACACAGAGAGACAGATAACCATTTGCACTCACATTGACACCTATGGGCAAATTAGAATCACTAATTAACCTAACACACACTAATTGCATGTCTTTGGGCTGTGAAAGGAAGCCACAGCAGCCAGAGAGAACATTCAAACTCCACGCAAAAAGGCCCTGACCTTTGAACTCAAGATCTTGCTTTGAAGCAACAGTGTTAATCTACTTTCAAACAATTCTGTCTCTACTTTGTCGGCTATATTTTGTGGCGAGAACATGCAAATTCCACACAGAAAGACCCCGGACTGATGGGCGGTAGGACAGACTACACTTGCAGCAGGATTGCACAGGTCACCTGGATAGGAGAAACCTGCTTCCAATCACAGTCAGACAGTCTGTACTGAACAGAGAACACAATTCAACCCTGGTTACATGCCAGTTTAAAAATAAGGTTTCAAGCTTTGCAGTTAAATTGCTGTTATGCAACAACTACTTCACCATTTATAAAAGAATTTCTGAATTTTCATCCATTACTTCACCTTCTCCTGCTTATCTAGTTCAGGGTGATAGTGGAGCTAGAACTGATCTTAGCTTTCATAAGTCAAAAGGCAGCAGTCTCTTGCAGGAGTTTCTGTTTATGTAGATGACAGGAGATTTCCAGCTGACAGTAACAAATTTGCAGTTTATCACAATTCGTTTCTCAATTATCAAAGACAGGCCGCATGTAATCGCCAGCTTGACCCCAATCAACTATGAACTGACAGCAGACTGACTATCACCGTCTACTTTGCACATAAAAGTTTCTTTGAAGACGGCAGTTGACAGCGAGTGGCTGCAGTTCTTATCCCCATCCTCAAAGTAACCATTTAAAAAGCAACAAGATGAAAGGTTAATTGTGCACGGTTACAATAATTTTGGTTGCGTCATGGTCTCCAAGTTCTCTCTAGTGCGACTGTCGTGTTAACGACAGCTAGCTTGCTGTGTTTTGCCCAAAGCTATCTTACAAACTGCCTAGGTTGCTGACTGCAGTCACCAAATGTCTGAATACCAATAAGAGCATTAGATGATAGAAATTGGTTATGTCAACATGTGTTTCTTTAGTGTACGGGGCATCAATGTCGCTACACAAATGTGCCTTCTGGAGAGAGTTGCTGTGCACCTCCTCGATTAAGATAAGTTAAGGATTTAATACAGGCACAGGCCTTTCACGTTCTCTGATTTGGTTTATATTTGAGTCTTGCATTTGAACTGAAAGCAGCAATTATTTCAACTTGTAGCCGAGGTGAGCCCTTTGAATTTTTGAATGTCTTTATTTTAATTCACCAGAAAAGCCTCTGTGTTCAGCCCTGGAAATGAATTCATGGCATTCGTTTGCCTTCATGTCCTGCAGAAATCTTCATTAAATAGTAAACTCTCATTTAAAGGCATTTGAAATATCCAGCGACAGGGCAGCTACTGAGACATCCTAATGACCAGAGACAGGCCAATAATGATGTGGATGATTGGTTGGGAGGGGAGGGAGGAAATGAGTAATGTGAGGTTTGATTGGCTGCTGACCCCCGGGGGACATTAGCAGAGAGTGACAGCTAGGACGCAGCGCACTGGGTGGCTGCGTTTCACGATAATAGCAGGTAACTGAGATTAGCTTCTTTTTATATTGAGTGCTAAGCAAACGCTACGCACCTGCCAGGTTGGCCTATTATAACACTAACACAATAGGAAGGAAACAGACACTGGAGGTGCTTATTAGCAAGATTACAATGTGTCAATCACCTGAAAAAGAGACAGAACAACATAATAAAAGAGCAGTAGAATCCATTTCAGTGTAGGCTTTGATTAGCATACTTATTAGAAGAAAGAGTTTCTATTGTGAGTTACTCCACTGCCTGTCAAAAACCCCTCAGTGAAATCATTTTCTCTCAAATATGTGTTGCTATATTTTTTGCAAACTGTTTG